CTTTTTTTTTTTTTTTTTTTTTGAGACAAAGTCCTGCTATGTAGTGCATACTGGCCTAGAAATTACTATGTAACCCAGGCTGGCCTCAAACACAGCTATCCTCCTGCCTCATCCTGCTGAGTGCCAGGATTACTGGCCTACATCACCACACCCAGCTAAAGTGCCTACTTTCATCCAGTCACTCAAAACCATGTTACTCATCCTATTAAACTACATTTTCTGCCATCATCTACAATGCACAACTCTTTCCAGTTACACTGTTGTCTGTATTGGCTCCTCAGCAAGATTAGAAAATGCAGGTGGAAATTAATCTGCTCAGTTTGCCATATCAAAATACTACAGATTGATTCCAGGGATTTAGCTTAATGGCACAGCATCTGTCTGGAAAGTGCAAGGTCTTGAGTTCAATCCCTGTTACCAAAATAAATTTAAAAATAAAAAAAAGTACTACAGATTGGTTAGCTTAAACAAGATAAATTTGTCTTCTATTTTGTAAGCCAGAAGTCCAAGATCAAGGCATAGACAATTCTGTCTCCTCGAAAGGGCTCTCTTTTGACTTGTAAATGGTAGCCTTTATGCTGTCTTCCTTGAACACATAAGGAAAGATTTTTCTCCCACTTTTTCTTACAGGACCACCACCCCTGTCAGATTAGGACCCTAGCATTAAGACCTCATTTAACCTTAATAACTTCTATAAAAGTCATATCTCCAAATACAGTCACCATGAGAGCTGAACCTTCAACAAGATGAAATTTGGAACACAAATATTCAGTCCATAACATGCCACTTTGTTTCTGAGGTTAGACCTAGAGATTTTGCAGCTTTTGTTCATACTCTCTTCAAATATTATCATCATACAGAAAGCCCAACCTAGCCTACTAGCGGATGAGAAGCTACATACACCTGAGCTAACAGCCAAAACCAAATGCCACATATATGAGTGACATTATAGCGAACAATCCAGCTACAGTGAAGCTATGACTACAAGTGGCTAAGCGGAACTGTTTGCCGAGATCAGTCAAAATTGCAAAATCCCCCAAAAATAAACAAGTGTTGCTTTAAGTCACTAAATTTCAGAATTACTTATTGCAAAGTAATAAATACCAACAAGTCCTACCTTCTTGTTCTGCTTTTAGACCTAGATCGCTGAACTCTGTAAGATTTCCCTCGACCTCTTGAACGACTTCGACTTCGTTTTCTTCTAGAGCCATAAGAAGAGCTACTGCTTGACCGATGCCTGCGTCTGAAATAAAATATAGAAAGCTATAGAAAGTTCTTCTTATAGGAATTAAAGAGAAATCTAGATTCTAAAGAATCATCCTGTTTTTACTCTTTCCTTGAAGTAAACAGATAAATTGTTATTTCTCTTGAACAGATGTTTAATATTTAGTGATTAAATCAGCTACTAAGGCATTACGATAAGGTACTAATTAAGTATCACTGATCTTAAGTAGAACAGTCTTTCCAAATATCTCAGATAATATGATATGAAAACTACATCAGTTTTATCTAGCTATAAACAGAAGAGAATTTCTATTTAGTTGTATACAAAGGATGGAGATACCAGACAATAGATTAGCCCTGATAAGAACGACCTTCTGGGTTGGGACTCAACTCTCATAAATAAACCGCTACAAAAAGAAAAATAGTAAGGGCACAAGGGGGTTGGGTGCAGCTCAGTGGTGTAGCACTTGCCTAACGTATGAGGACCTGGTTCCATCCTTAGCATCACAAAAATATAAAGAAAAAAAATTTTTGTGTGTGATTTTTTGAGACAGGGTCTTGCAATATAGTTTAGCTTGGCCTTGAACTCACTATGTAGTCCAGGCTGTCCTTGAATTGGGGTAATCCTCTTGCCTCAACCTCCTGATGCTGAAACTCCAGGTGTACACCACCACAAAGGGCCAAAAAATTTTTTTAAAAAGGTGTTTGCTGTGGTGGCGCATAATATTACAGAGGTTGAGGTAAGAGGATTCCAAGTCCCAGCCCAGCTTGGGCTACACAGCAAGATCAAGGGAAGCCTGGAACATGTGCTGAGACCTTGTCTCAATAAAAATAAAAGAGGGGCTGGGAATATCGTTCAGCTGCACAGCTTGGCAAGTGTGAGGCCCTCAGTTTGATTCCCGGTACCAAAAAAAAAAAAGAAGAAAAAGAAAAGAAAAATACTTTATCCAACAAAGTTAAAAATACAAAAAACATATGAGCTTCAAAGAATGTTACCCATAATACTTCATAAATAAAAATTATATAAAAATCACCTTCTATCATAAGAATGAGAACGAGGTTGAAGATCTCTGGACCAAGATCTTGACTTTGATCTTGACTTCCTTCCACCTTTCTTTCGGCTATATGTTCTACTATCTGAAGAACTGCTGGAAGATGACCGTCTACGATGTTTCTTTTTTCTCTTGTTTCTGCTTTCTTCTTCAGTGTCTGATGACCGGCGTCCCATTTCTATAAGCTTAAATTCAAAGAAAATTATTTCTAACACAATGGCACAATGGGTAAGATTCAATATAAAAATTTTTATGAAACTTTGTACATTAAAAAAAACAAAATGTTCTCAGGCTGGCTTTAAATACCTGTGATCTCAGGCTGGCTTTAAACTCAATCCTATTGCCTCAGCTTCCTAAGTAGGTGGAACTACAGATAAACACCATGCCTGACTGTAAAATTTTAAAAGATAAAATTTTCAAATGTGCGTGGCTTCTTGACAAAACATAAGGAATGGCTTTAATACAGTCTTTTTGCCCTTGATTTTTTCAAGTATCTCTTAAGAGTCAATCCTAAAGATAGTTTACTGGATCAATTTTATGATATTTCAGGTTGTGTTTGTCATTAATTACATGAATTTCAGTTGAGTAATTCACCGCCTTTCCCTTCATTTTTAAATTTCCTGGAAACAAGATAAATTTGTAAATGGGTAAGCCTTCATCAATTAACAAAGCACAAACTATAACAATGTATTATAATCATTTCACTTGTGAAAGTTAATAAAGGAAATGTTAACTAAAGAAATTACTGTAAAGTCAACTCTGCACTATTAAAAGCACCTATAAAAAGGGGTAGTATAAATCTTTTGGAAAGTAATTAAGCAATTTCAATTTCAAATTTTATTAAATTTTAAATTTTAATTTCAAAAACAAGAATGTTGATGCTTTTGACAACATTATCCTACTGTAGAAATATATTCAGAAAAAAATTTAATGAAACATACTCATGGGGCTGGGGATTTAGCTCAATGGCACAGCATCTGCCTGGCAAGCACAAGGTCCTGAGTTCTATCCTCAACACCAAAATAAAGAAACAAACAAACAAACAACATATTCATCAGGCTTGTGGCACACACTAGCAATCCCAGCAATCTGGGAGGGTATGGCAGAAGAGTAACAAATTCAAGACTCACCTGAGCAACTTAGGTACTTAGCAAGACCCTGTCTCAAAATAAAAAATAAACAGGACAAAAGCCCTGGGTTTTATTATTATATATATACATATACACACATACATATGATTTTTTCAGGAAAGTATTATCTATGGAGAATATAAAGAAATATATATATATATATATACACATATGAATAAGAATGAAAATAAAATAATTGATATTTAAGTGATTAAAATTTTTTAAAGTTTTTCTTTGTCAAAAACTACTTCTATGCAGTTATGATAATGTTTGTATAGTTAGCATACAAAGAGAAAAAACAGAACCTAAGGTTTTTATATTTAAGAATTATCTTCACTAATAAGTTTACTTGTCTTACTTTAAAGTTAACCTTTAGATTCCCACAAGAAATGTATCATTCAAAGTCAAAAAAGCAGGATCTAGAGGGGGGGGGGGGTACACGTCTATAATGCCAGCACTCAGGAGGCTGAGGCAGGAGGATCACTAAGTTCAAGGCTAGACTGAACTGTAGAAGGAGACCCTGTCTCCAAAAAACAAAATACAAACAAACAAAAAGAAAAGCAGGATCTATCCTATGTAATGGCTTAGATCAGATAAACAACAGCCAAATGAATCCTTCAATGTATATCCAAAATAAGTTAAATAATTATTATAAACAAAATAATGTATTAAATTACTATTCTGTTTTCAGAATCATCATGCAAGCTAATCTCTTCCTGATCCACTATCTGTGTAAAGATTTCTGTTAGGAGTAATTTGAAACTTTAAGCTGTTTACCAAGAGCCAGAATTACAGATTTTAAATATAGTTCAGAACCTGTAAGGAATTCACATGTCTAATACTTTACAATTTAACAAAGTATTGCTATGACTTTTGTTTTGAAACTTTCAGTAAATCACTAAAATACATAAGCCAGTTTCTTCATTGAAAGATGAAACTGTAGTGGGTAAAATATCACCATGATCCTTTTCATCTTTAAAGTATATGGCTGTAAAATTATATATACATACCATATATGCATATTTAAAGTATATATTTACATATATTTAAACATGTGTGGCTGAGTATAGTGGCACATGCCTATAATCCCATCTACTCAGGAGGCTGAAGCAGGAGGATCACAAATTTGAGATCAGACTGGGCAACTTAAGAAGATCCTGTCTCAAATTAAAACTAAAATGGGCCAGGGATTTAGCTCAGTGGTTCCGCTGCTTGCCTCAAAGGTACTAGGTCCTGAGTTTGATCCCCGGTACCAAAAAACAAATAAACAAACAAAACTAAAAAGGATTGGGGATGTAGTTCAGTAATAAAATATCCCTGAGTTCAAGCCCCAGTACCAATACATGTATACATACCTACATGTATATAATATCCACTTGTACATAGTATATATGTCCATGTGTTATATATAGTAAATACTCATATATCCATGTGTATATATTTAAAACCCATTAAGGAATATATATAAAATTAAGTGATAATATAAGATTTCTTATTTCTTGTCTTTTTTTTTCTTTCTTTTGTTTTTGCCTTCAAGAACTTAAGAATTTTCTTTATGCACAAATAACTGTTTAAATTATGATGACTTTTTATCACTGTCTTGTTAAAAAATACTGAAACAAGATAAAAGGAATAAAAAGGCATAAATTCACAAGAATAAAGAGACTATAAGAGAAAACAACAGAAAGATTAGACAAGATATAGCAACAAATTTTTAACAGAGGATTTAGATTGAAGAAAGTGGAGTACCAAGCAACTGAGAGAATTTCAAGAAGAGAAAAGCCAATTTACATAGCAAAGAATCAGAAAGAATCTAGGAGGATTTTAGCGAAAGACTATAAAAGGCAGCAGGCACAAGCTAAAAACGGGGAAACTAACTGAATTTCTGTAAAAGAAATAGACAACCAGGTTTCCAACCCCATCCAACCTAGCCCAATGACTACTCTTCCCCAATCCCAAAGGGAGGTTTATTTGCGGCAGGAAAGGATCAGTACAGCACCAAGTCCAAGGGCTCAGCAAAGAAAGGGGAGAGTGATGGCAAACTAAAATTTGAATGAATTAAGTAAAGCTCTCGATCTAATGGTTAAAGCCATAGATGTCCGCATGTTTAGATCCAAGATTCTGAAGCCAAGTGTATTGTACATCCTAGCAAGAAAATTAGAGGAGCCTTCTCTACAAAAACCCAATAGCATGTGATTAAAAATATTCAAAGCACTTGAGGGTCTGACAAAGAAAACACCAAAGCCCTCATTTGCCTAGCTGACAAGAACAAATCTTGATCTCAGTAACTTTTTTCTGTTGGCATATTAGTACTTGTAAAACAAAAGATAACCACATACAATAAAAGCCTTTATCATAAAATCCAAGCCTGGGGGTGTAGCACAGTGACAGAGCACATGGTTAGTGTGCAAGGCCCTGGGTTCAACCCCCAGCACTACAAATAAATTAAAAATAAGTAATAGAAAACCAGAAAGAAAAAAACAACTTATAGTAAACTGGAAGCATATAGAAAAAAACTTCAAGAACAAAAATCACAGTGAAGATCCTTAGAAACAGAAAATAATCCTGCCCCCCCAAAAGGAGAAACATTCAGAGAATAAGCACAAGAACTTGAAATTTAAACAAATGATAAACAATTTTAAAAAAAAATAACAGTGTTGGAAGAAAGGACAAAGACTCACAGAAAGTAGAAAGAAAATGGGACAAATAACAACAACAAAATAAGAGGCAAAAGATCAATCAACAAAGTCCAATATCCAATTGATGCGCATTTCATAATAAAAGAACATACAAAAGAGATGAAGGATGGGCCGGTGATTTAGCTCAGTGGTTCTCGCGCCTGCCTCAAAAGCACAAGGACCCAAGTTAGATCCCCGATACCAAAAAAAAAAAAAAGGAAAATTATCCAAAAAATAAATCAAAAGAATTTCCAAAACTGATTGCTCTAAGTCCTTGAACATATTTTTTTTGGAGAACACACAATAGGGCCAGGGATTTAGCTCAGTGGTTCCACCACCCACCTCACAAGTGCAAGGGCCCAAGTTCAACCCCCGTTACCAAAAAAACAAGTAAATAAAATTTTTTAAAAAATAAAATAAAAGAACATACAATAAGCATATCTTATAAAAATTTCACAGGGGCTGGGAATGTAGCTCAGTGGTAAATACTTACCTAGAATGTGGGAAGCCCTGGGTTCAATACCTAGCACTACTAAAATTAATTAATTAATTAATTAATTAATTAATTCATTGAATTCAGGCACCAGGAATATTGACAAGGTCCTAGAAACTTCCAAACAGAAAAATAAAACTAAAAAAAAAAAACAGAGGAAATATAAAGGGCATAGGGTTTTTCAACAGCAACGCAAAAAACAATGGCAACTCACCAAAATTCCTTTCAATCTAGACCCTTTATTCCCAGGGAAAAAAATCACTGATCTAATAAGAGATTGAAGACCTTTTCACACATGTATTAATTCTCAAAATTATGCCTCAGACTCACCCTGCTTCAGGAAGTTACTGAAACTATATGCTACACCAAAAAGAGAAGGTAGACCAACAAAGAATGCAGATTCAGAATATAAGTGATTTAACAGTGAAGATAGGTAAAACGTCCCAGTATGGTAGGAGATCCAGGTATAAGGAATATATCAGTGAATGAGAGACAAAAATCTTGCCCTCAAGGAGGTGACATTCTAGTGTACCAGTAAGTCTCAAAGTAGAACTGAAGACCCTTGGGGGTCTCTATGACCCTTTCAGGGGGTTCAGGAGATCAAAATTATTTTCATTATAAAATGAAAACTTTTATTTTTTTCACTGGATTGACTTTTTTTCCCCAGTACCGGGGATCAAACTCAGGACCTTGTGCTTGCCAGGCAGACACGGTGCTACTGAGCTACATCCCTGGCCCTCACTGTGTTGATTTTTGCACTGATGGTGGACAAAACTACTAGTACCTTAACACAAATCAAGGCAGAAGCACTGAAATATAATAGTAGCCACTGCATTCTTCACTGCCTCAGTCACACTAAGAGGGGTGGGGGGTTCAATTAAGAATGTTCTTGACAAAGGAGTAAAAGTCATTCACTTTATCAAATTTTAATCCTTGAGTATATATTTTCATATTCTGTTTGATGAAATGGAAAATGCCCACAATTTCTATCATATATTAAAGAATGAAGTTTGTCTCAAAAAACATTTGTGTAACAAAACTGCAAGCAGAACTAGCTGCTTTCATTATCAAGCACCACTTTGTTAAAAAAACAAAAAACTAAAAACTAAAAAGCTGATGATTCAGACTTGGGTATTTGGCAGACTTTTTCTCAAAATGAATGAAGAGAGCTGGGGATTTAGCTCAGAGGTTCTGCTGCCTGCCTCGCAAGCACAAGGACCTGAGTTCAATCCCTGGTACAAAAAAAAAAAAAAAATCAAAATGAATGAAGATAGATTTCATTTCAAGGAAAACTAACAACGTTTGTTGTCAATGATAAAAGTCAACCTCTCGGGGCCAAGGATGTAATTCAACCATAGAGCACTTACCTAGTATACATAAGCCCCTAGATCCAATCTCCAGCACTACAAGAAAAAAACGTTCAACCTCAAAGGCAAAACTTAGAATTTTGGATAATTACATCTACAACCATGAGACTGCCAGCTTGAGTACACTTAAAAGATCAGTGGTGATGTTAACAAAGGTGAATAATATACAATAAACGATGTCAATATCTAAAAGATATGTTTGGGATCAGGGGTTTAGCTCAGTGGCACCGCGCCTACCTTGCAAACACAAGGTCCTGAGCTCGAGCCCCAGTACCAAATAAATAAATAAAAGATATGCTTAACTCATTGAACTAATATTTTCCAACTGCCCAGTGAAAAATGTCACAAAATCACATAGGTAAAAGATGCAGTCAGTTGCAAGGCAGACCAATAGATTTTAGTATATGGGCTGCTGAAGCAAACACAGACCAATAGATTTTTTTTTTTTTTTTTTTTTTTTTTTTTTTGTGGTGTTATTTATGTCATTTTTTTTGTACCGGGGATTGAACTTGGGTCCTTGAGCTTGCAAGGCAGGCCACCGAACCGCTGAGCTAAATCCCTGGCCCTACAGACCAATAGATTTTAATACAAAAAAGTAAAAAGTTCACTGGTATTGTTTCAAATACTACCTTATAAGAAATTACTACTTGTCAAGTTTTGGTGTAGTATCAAAAAAGCAATTATCTGAAAAGGCTATTAAAACATTATCTTTTCCTTAAAAAAAAATCTGTGTGAAGCCAGGTTTCCTTTATTTAAAATTCCTGTAAAAATAACATCTCAATAGACTGAATGCAGAAGCAGATAAATCAGCTGTTCTTCTAAGCCAGACATTAAAGTTTTGCAAAAATAATGCCACTTTTCTCACTCTTTGTTTTTAGGAAATATAGTTATTATTCATATCAAATGTTATTTGGGTTTATTTTGGGGTTTTTTCTTTTTAATGGTACTGGGGATTGAACTCAGGCCCTTGCACTTGCAAGGCAGGCAGCAGAACCACTAAACTAAATCCCCACCCTATTTGGGTTTATTTTATTATTCTGAATGAACGCAAATACTTCATTTTCTGTTTTTATCATTAATATTATCATTATCATTAATATTGACTCCAAAATAAAATTTCTTGCAGTCCTCAACAATTTCTAAGTATATAAAGAGATCCTAAGACTTAGAAAGTGTGAGAACTACTCTTCTAATGTGCCTACAGTCTCCCTTCTTCCTTCCTGTCCTGCTTAAGTTCCTGTATAAGGCAAAAGAAGTGAAAAGGCGGCAGTGACAAACAGCAGTCAGGCTATGTGGGGGGGACAAACTAAAAGGGGAACAAGAGAAAGTCAGTATAAATTTCTTTGTACTGATTAAAAATAAAATAATTCATTAAAGAATATAAATTACATCTATTCCCCCCAAAATTAAAGATACAAAAATCCTTTCTTAGAGGAACCAAGTAAAACCTGATTGAAAAAGCACTATCACTTCACTCAAGTAACATATTTACATTTTAGAAAATGAAGCAAAGATATAATGAAGCTTAATAAAAGATAGTAAAAAGCTATAAATTATAATTAACTCGATTTATACAAAAAAGGAAACAAACACAGACAAGAAATCAGAGGGCTTCTCTTAAAATGGTCTTTTCCTAATGACAGATACTGAATGCCTACTGACTAACCTAAATATATACTTAGATTTCTATAATGTCAGGAGCATATAAGTGACTACATTAGCTCATTCAAATCATAATGATCAATTTATACTACTCCTAGTAAAGTAAGGAAAAACTCTTTATACTTAACTCCACTAGTAAGGTGCAATGCAATTTGGAAATTTATGTCAATAGCTCTATATGATAAAAATAACAATGACCCAACCACAGATCTTCAGTAGTTTCACAAGCTAACAATCTGTAATCTATCTGTAAGTGGAAGACATAACACAGGGACAAAAAGGTCTACAGCTCTTGGTTCTCTGTTCTCACTCTAGTTCTTTGTGGTAGAAGCTTCATGGCTGCAAATTTCACTCAACTACTACTACAGAATTGACATCATGGGAAATAATGATCACAGGACAATAATTTACAAAACTCCTCTGCAGTTCAGGTTGCTGACTGATAATGTGAAGCCAAGATGTGGTCATTCAAGAAAAAAGAACTCAAAGACATACACAAATGGTTGCTTTGTCCAGTTATAAATGTGGATACAAGCAGCAGTTATCTTTTGGGGGTAAAAACTATCAGTTTAAGAGAACAGTGGTTCACAGAAGATGTGACAATTTATATGCATTTCTCCACTACCCATTTATTAGCATATCAAACTATAATCCTTGACCACGGATATATGGCCCAAAATAAAAGAGAACAGAAAAGAAAGAAGAAAGGAAAGGAAAAAACAGTTATGGGAAATCTACCTCAAAGAAGTCTTTTTTTAAAAAAAAAAAAAAAAGGTAAAACGAGATGAACACTAGTGTATAAAGAAACCACAAACAAGTACAGAACAATGCAAGGGCAGAAAAAAAAGTGGTAAAATTTGAGCATAACAAAGCAAAATTCGAGATGAAGAATTGCATCGAAGTACTCTTCTTACCACAACAAAAAACTCTGTAGATTAGTGCCTTAAAAAAAAACAAAAACAAAAACAGGGGCGAGGATTTAGCTCAGTGGTTCCACCACCTGCTTCAAAAGCACAAGATTCCAAGTTCGATCCCTGGTACAAAAAAAAAGATTTTAAAGACATTTTCAGCTTTCATTTTTAAACCATTGTAGGTAAATTCCTTTGATTGAGATATAAAAAAATTTTTTTTCTGATATAAGGGACGGAACTGGGGACCTTGCGCTTGCGAAGCAGGTGGGGGACCCACTGAGCTAATTCCCGGCCCTATAAATCTATTACAACAACCCCCCTATTATAGAAGTTTTCCAATTCATAACCCACTCCGTATGGTGACTAACATAAAACTGGCTGAATTGGTAAGGCCTTTAACCCATGCCAACAGCCTCTGTTTTTTTCAGTTTCAGACATTTTCAGCAATTTTTTTTTCCTCTTCAGGTACTAGGGATTGAACCCAGGGCTTTCTCACTAAACTTCACCAGCACTTTAATTTTCTCAGACAAGGTCTCCCTACATTGCCCGGGCCCGCATCCAATTTGTGATCCTTCTGCCCCTTCTAGAGTGCTGGAATTACAGGCATGTACCATCATCCAGGGCTTCAGCCCTCTTACTGAACACAATAAATTAAATACTATTGCTTCGCAAGAAATTGCCTTCCCCTGCAAAGAATCTATAAACTCTTAAGAATGGAGAGGCTCTCACAGGATACCGTGCTCCTCCGCAAGCAATGTTGCACTTGTCACATTTGCTCCAATCCTTAAACCTGATAATTCTGTATATTTCCTTTACTTCCAGCTTTTACATCTAGATTCAAAGATGACAACTCCTGTTAGCACATTTGAATTTAACTTCCTACTACCTAGAGATACCGGAAACATAATTCTGTGATTCCTTCTAGAATTTTTAAGTTTTTGTTTTGTTTAGATTTCCAGTATATATTTTAAAATACAACCTCTGAGGGCCGGATATTTGGCTCAGTAAGCACCGCGCCTGCCTTGCAAGTGCAAGGTCCTGAGTTCAATTTTGAGAGAGAGAGAGAGAGAGAGAGAGAGAGAGAGAGAGAGAGAGAACTCTGAGGGAAAAATTAAATTAAGATTAATTTACATTCAAGAGCATGATTTATGATGATTACAACTCCTCACAGAAGTAAACGGTTCAGAGTAGCCATATGCTTTGAGTCATATGGCCAAACCCAAAAGGGAAGGGGCTGAATGTTTACGGCGAGTACTGTAGAGTTTTCTTTCAAAACAAGACGGTCTATTATTGCACCTTGTACCACCTCTCCTCTAGCAAGCCGGTGTGAGCTGAGAAACGACGGGCGGACGGGGAGGAGGGCGGGGATCTAAGGCACACCGCAGAGTGGGAGGCGAGAAGAGCACCCAGATGCAGCCTCCCTTTCTCCATTTACCTGGACAAAGTGAGGAAGCGCCAGGCAAGTAGCACGAAAGAACTAGGAGACCCAAAAGCAGCGATCAAGGGCCAGGGACAGGAAAGACAGGGAAAGAGTCGGCGAACTCTTCCCATCACCTCCAGACAGGCCAAACCTGAGGCCTGCGGCCGCTCACCTCCTACCGCCCAGCCCACCACCTACCGCCCTAGCCTGGACCCAGAGTCCGGACCCCGCCGGTGCGCGGCGCCTGCGCACTGGGTC